CTCTCTCTCTTCTCTCTCTCTCTCTCTCTCTCTCTCTCTCTCTCTTCCTCTTCCTCCTCCTCCTCCTCCTCCTCCTCCTCCTTCTGTCATTTTAAAATGTTAATACTGTATAGGCAGGATGCACCAGAGTAGAATGCAAGCGTGACATCTAAAGATCCATGGAGCTTATAAAAACGTGTTGCCAGCCTGATTTTAAAAAGCCCCTGGTAACGCGGGCATGTCTCTCTCACTGTGCAATCCAGCTGGGACATACCAGGATCTGTCTATTGAGCCTGATCCACACCGTCTGAGAAGTACTTTCTTATAGCTTGTAAGCAATAGTTTGTACTTGCAGGTTCATCTGCTATCTTCCTTGGCGCAGAACGTGCCACAGGCGTCAGTTTCTAGGAAGCTTTTCATCCTCTTACTGCCTAGTCTGCCACTGAACAGTTGGTAGACAGCATGTACATAGAGCTTAAAATCAATAGCATTGTGTGTTGCTGTGCTACACAAATACCTTCACACGTAGTGTGCTATCCAAGCCATGCAGGAGCATGTAGAACCGAGAATGCAAACCCATCCTGGAATAAAATCCCAGACAGCGAAGTGTGATAACCAGTGTGGAACTTCCTTCTAGAAAAACATTAAGGGATCATGAACATTTATAATGGAATCTTATTTATTTTTAGGTTAACAGTGTGTGTTGTTTTCTGTGCATTTCGAAGCAGAACTTTATTATGAAACATATCCGGGTAACGGTTTGCTTTTAATCAGACATCTTGAGATGTGCAATCTTTACCAAGTGTATGTGAACCTGGTATTTGTGAACAGTTTCTTTATATATATATATATATATCTATATATAGACATATATATTATTGCTTGGGTAATTTCTGTACACTTGATAATTTTTATTTTTTATTTTTTGGTCATATGAACATTTGGCTCCTTATCTTTGAATACAAATTGCACTGCTAGCATAGTCTTTCTCAGCACACGAAACACTTGGAATTTGTTTAGTAGAACTAAGCATGGCCTCTGAGCACATATCAGTTTCACAGCAGATGCATGGTTTTCATATGCTTAGTTTTGCCTGTCTTTTTTCATTTATGAGATTGGTCCACTCATGGGAGTTTCAGGATCACCCCACCTGCAGTTACACCGTCTGGAAGAGAATATTTTGGAGAGTAGGCTAGGGTGAAAACTACTGTTGCATACATCTGTTTGCTGCTTTATACGACTGTAAAGGAAGAAAGTGGCAAAGATGGTTGCAGGAGAATCAGCCTTAGTGTATTTGACGGCTGTTCTTGAGTCCAGAATCTTTACGCTTGCAATGTAGTGACAAGCACGGTTGCTCAGAAGTCAGATTGGTGGCACTGAGTTGTAAGTTTGAGATAAGCTACAACACCATCCTCCATAATACAACATAATTTAATACACAAGCATAGCCAGCTTTGCTGCCTGCATGTATATGTAACGTATCCCAGGGAAGAATAGGCTGGTCAGGGTGATGTGTCTGTTAATCAATGCTCACTTTGTAGTGCTAGATGAAGCTGTGAAAAGGCTCACAGAGAAGTAACCGTTTCCTATTTTCTGAAATTCATTTCTGGTTATATTTTCTTTGACGATTGCAGAAAAAATAAGAAAACAGATAAGCAAAATGAGATACTTTTAGCACCAATTCCTGCGGTAAGAATATGTATCTTTTCAAGCTCCTCCAATATAGAGATTTCAAGGTAGCATTTCGTTATTGTTAAACATACTGCCTAATCATGAATATGTGATGCCGCATGATAGTTCAGTGACCCTATTTCTTCATTGCTTTCGGAAATGAGAAATTGTGGACATGCTAGATGAATCTGTGCAACTCTTTTTGTGCATGGAGAGGAAGTTAACACCTGTGTTACGGTCGTGATTTTCAGGTTGGAGTTTTTTATACATGCAAAAAACTCTGCTTAACAGATCTATTTGGGCAGGCATTTCAAGCCATTTTGTAGCTGAGTAAATACAGAATATAAAAAAGTTTCGTATCAACCTCTCTTTTTAAAAATGCCCCAGAGAACTTAATTCACCAGCAGAAGTTGAAAAGAAAGTGTGTTGACAGTCTTGGGTCCTTTGACTAAGAAAATAAGTAGAGTTATTTTATTGGGATTGACTTCTGAGTAAACCTGCTTTTAATTGCACCGTATGCATATATGTTGCACACACAAACATGAGTTATGTAGTCATAGCTATAGCTCCAGAGCAAACTAATCTATTTATATTTAATGACTCACTCTCCAAAACCTGTTCTTCCTCTAAGTTTTCAAACTGCTTTTAGTTCTGAAAAGCAGAGGATCACAAAGGATTTCTGTAATACTTCTGGGCAAAGTAAGTAGCAATTGATGTGCATTATCTATATGTCATGGATGACATAGACCCACTAGCCATGATAAAGCCAAAGTACTTTTAAGTCTCCAGGAAATCCATGGGATTCAAAAGTCTTTCACTTTGGCTGGATTATACCTCGCTTATCAAGTCAGTGGAACTATTCCTAACACGTTGTATTGGAATTCAATCAATATCAAATGGTAAAGTTCTGTTAGAACTGGAATATGGAAATGACTGTTGCACCTATTTCTGGATAAACAAACTACGTAGTTAGAAAAAGCTAATATATGGTTGTATTGAATTTTGCATTTTGATAAATGAAATTAGACTGCTTGTCCTGTTGATAAGAAATCAAGATCATTGGCAGCTCTCTATCTCCCTGCCCCCTCCCAGGTGTTTCTTTGTATAGTGAGTTATAGTGTATGTTACCAGGACATGTAAAGTATGATTTCTGCATAATTACAAAAATTGGAAGAAAAATACCTTGTAAAAATTAGTTCTTAGAAGTGTTTCTACAAATTATGTTTATAAACTGCAACACATTGTATAGTGTGTTGAAGAACGTAAGAGGCGTTTCAAATATATGCACATCTAATTTGAGGTTAGAAAGTCTGTCTGCTCTGTGTTGCCTCCAGCCGAGATCAGAATGTGTCTGAACTAATACGCAATCCTAGCCTAAAAATCTGGCAAGTGCCATCACAATAGAAGGCTCTTTGTGCCTTCTTTGTTTTTGTAATGCAAACCAAGAAACCAGCATTTTATATTTTTCAGTTCTGCGTGACGATGCAGTTTCAGAAATCCAGAGCCTTAAAGAAGTGGTAATAGCAAAACTGCCCGAGAAGAACCAAAGCATTTCCACTTCTCTTGCCAAGGCACACACCCCTATTATTTTTATCTACCAGAAAAATAGAAGTTTTCTGCACTGTCCTCCAAATGTTACCCATGGGAATTTTTATTTTATATTGAAGATGTAGATATTTCTGAGGTTGCTTTTGTCTTCGTGTCTAATAATAGGAATACTCCTTTTTTGATTGTGAAACTGAACTAAGATATGAGCACAGACCTCCATGGCAAGGGAGGTCATTTTCTTCCACTGTATTGCTTGCAGTAGAAATCGTGCTTAGCATGACGAGTGTTTCTCTTCTTCTTTTCATAGTCACAATTATGTCTTAGCATCTCACTTTATGAAAATAAGAAGATCGATACCAGTCTGTACAGGTTGCTTCATTAACCGCTAGACTTTAAAGAAAAGAAAATCTATACTGGCAAGCAGAGCATCCGGTGGTTTATTGCCTTTGTAAAAGAGACCATGATGCCTTTGTATTTGCTGTTTGCACCCCTGAAATCAATTCCATATGTTGACTTTTGCCATGTTTTGCACATCGTACTGTATATATGTAATGCATATTGTATTTTTATATGTGTAGTACATTTATCATATATTTTGTACATAGTGGCAAGATTGTAGCTAAGGAGAAAATGTTATCTAAGCAATTTTGCAATTTGTGTGTCAAATAAACGAGTTAATAGATGTGCTTGTTATTTGTTGTGTTTGTTTAGCAACGCCAGTCTCTTAAAATTCGGATCCCATGGAAATTTGGATGGGCCCTACATCCAGGTCCAAGGAACAGTAGATGTACCTAAGCTGCCCAAACCAAGTATTGTACTAGAAAAAGTCATACTTAATTGCTCTAAAACAGGGTTAATGATGGGTGGGGATGAGTGACTGAAATAATCATCAATGGGCAGAACAAAGTTTCTGAACTTCCATATATATATAACACTGGATCCAGATTTAGTTATACTTTGAGTGGGCGCGTTGAAATTAACCAGAATTCAATTAGCCTTTACTGAACTAAGTCCTGCTGATTTCAATGAATCTGTTCTAAACCTGACAAGATTTGGATCCAGCTCACTGTACTGATCTCATTACTTCATTCTGTTGTCACTCAAAGGTTGAAGAGTTGCTAATGCACTGTTAGGTTGTTGTGAGGATAAATGGGAGGGAAGAACCACGCACACCGCTCTTGTAAGCAAATGATGGAATAAAAAGATGGTGTAATTCAAAAATGAATGTCCTAATAGAACTAAAAAAACTTTGTATTGTCAGAAAAAGGGAATGGGAAGATGGTATAAATCTAGCCACATGGAATCAGCTCCTGAAAAAGAAAGGTGGAGAAAGGAAGGGGTATTTAGCCCCAATTTCAACTCAAAGTCAGTGCTGTTACCTCACTTGCTGACATCACAGAGATACTTACATGATTCAGATATTTCTCTTTGTTTCCAGTGCAACTCATCTGAAGGGAGAGTTTGAGTACTGGAGAAAGAAAGGGGACTTCTCTCTCAATATGGAGGTGACTCGTTACCAATTCTCTAGGTCAGCCAACAATTCTGAGGAAAGGTAAATTAAATGTATCAGGAATAACAGGGATAGAGACTATTCAGTAGTTACTGGTGGTAGGAAAAACATGTTGATCTAACTCAAATGTGGGAAAATCTGGAATTGCCGAAGATTTCATTCTGAATACTTAATGTGGGATTAGACTGTATTGAAAAAGGTTGAAGACTAAAAGCTAGAAACCAAGATGACTATTTTTGAAGAGAGTAGCATTCATTTGTTACTTTTTTGCTGATGCGGGGAAATAACATATTCTGTTTTAACAGATTTTAGGATGGTGGACCTCCAGCCTCCCCAATATGGGGAATCTTTCATATGTATTGGACTACATCTTCCCCAACTAGCTGGGTGAGAATGATAAGGCTTGTGGTTAATGACACCTAGAAGACACTAGGGTAAAAAAAAAAAAAATGCTATAGCAGATGTAGACATGTACTGTATGTTGATTTATGGATGATGGTATAATTTGGTGGTGTTGTAAGATGGGTTCGTCATCCTCTTGAATACATTGCCTGCTGTCTTCCTGAAAGAAATTAGAGAATAGGATACTTTGGTTTGAAAATAATGCTGGGTGTGTCCAGCATTAACATGAGCTAAATTATCCATTAAGGCTTTTCCATGGAAATTAAAGTGCCCGGGAATTAGAGTGCTCATTGGGGAAGATGAGTGAGGAACTGTAGAGGGCCACAGAGATGACCTTGGAGGAAATACATAGGAAATGGTTACAGAAACAAAAATATGCTTTAAGCCCAAGAAAGAGAAAAAGCACGAGAAAGAAGCTCAGGTTGGCTCCACCCTAATTCTCTTGAGGTGTAAAAGGGAAGGGAAAACACAATCAGGTAGGCCAGATCAGGAAACAGACTCCACAAGTTTGATGAGAACATTACTGATATAAACTAGAGCAATATTTGGACTTGTTCCTATGTTAGAATCATTGTCCTGTTGTTTCTTGCAGCTTGTGAGAAAATGCTTCAAGTTGGGTGGTTGTCTGTATGCAAATGTAGGCCTGCCACCCAGTGCCTGAGGAAGTGCGATGTCATTGTCCACCACGGGTTTTAACTTATTAATGCATTTGAGTGACTAATTCTACCTCAGTTTAGCTACTCCATGCATCTGATGATGCGAGCTGTAGCTATCTCAAGCTTACGCCTTTTAATAAAATTTATTAGTCTGAAAAGATGTGACCAGATCCCTTTTGATTTTGGGCTCCCATATGCTAACATGGTTGTCTTCCTATAAGCTCTTTATGTTCTAGTGATTGTTTCTATCATAAACATCTCTGTGGATAAAGCAACCAAAATTCCTGATAGAACATTGTAGAGATGTGAATCTGGATATTTATGCATGTTTTATTGATTGTAAAAAGGTGTTTGAATGGAGTATGACAAGATAATAAAAACAACAAGATGGGATAGGAGAGACATTTAGTATTAAGGTGGAAACAAATAGAAATTGTTCAAGTAGAAAGAAAATCAAATATTTTGTGGAGCTCAACAAAGGAGTGTATTACCTTTTTTAATATATATTCTAACACCATTGTCAAAAAATCTTGAGAAGAACGTCAAGAAGGTACAAACATTAATGGTGTGATAATTAACAATTTACATTATGCACATTATACTGTTCTAAGAAATAGTGAACAAGATTTACAAATTTTGCCCCATCAGTTAGTTATATGAATTGAATAAGTATTATGGCCTAAATATAAATAAGAAGAAAATAACAATAACAATAAATACTGGAGTTGATTATTATGCTAGAAGAAGAACACAGAGGATGGGACAAATTAAATACCTGAGCTATATTTTGAATAACATGGGAGAATAGCATGGAAAAAAGGAGCAGGATTGAACAGGTGAGAGTAGCTTTTCAAAAAATAAATAAAGGTATGTGTTTGCTGTTGGGACTTGAAATTGGAACTGGGTTGTATGCTATTTTGTCTTGCCAGTTCTTTTGTGTGGAGTAGAAGCATAGACAGTGCAGAGCAGGGTTTCTCAACCTAGGTAACTTTAAGATGTGTGGACCTCAGCATGCTGTCTGGGGAATTCTGGGAGGTGAAGTCCACACATTTTAAAGTTGCCAAAGTTAAGAAACACTGATGTAGAGAGCCATGGAGATGGCCTTGAAGAAAATATTCAGAAGCTGTTACTGGGACAGAAAAGGGAGAGGAGGAAAAACACAGTCAAACTTGCAAGATTCTGCTACTGTAGCCTATCTCAATAAAATAGAATTTTAGTTTTCCTGTGGTTTCTTGATCTGGTGTACCTTATAGGGCTGACAGACAATGAACAAAATGGTAGTCAGGAAAGTAGAAACCTCTGAAATGTGGATATACAGAAGATTAAAGTACCATGCACTGAAGATGTGCAAAATGAGATTGTCCTCCAAAGAAATGGAAATTGTGAATATCATCCAAAAATTAACATTGAAATATCTTTAGTTAATTATACAAGGAAAGTTTCAAAGCGCACACAGCGCTGGAAGAGGATGCATATTCTGACTGAAAAATCTTGTGTGTGTGGTTTGGCAAAAATACAGTGTTCTTATCTCAAACAGTAACATCAAAAGAACAAATAATATCGATGGCTGCCAACCTCCTGGAGGAGATGACACTAACGGAAGAAGAAATGTTTTGCATGTTTCTATATCTGTGTCCTAACTGATATCACTTGAACAAGTGAGACGTGATTGCAAAAGCAACCAAGGGGCAGCTGTTCATGGCACCGGCCCAGTAGAATGACCTAGTGTTACTTGTCCGTCCTATGAAGCCTCCCTCCTTCCCCCTCGAGGTGCATTTTAATCTTCCCATCTGTTGTATTTCCAGGGTCCTTGCTCACTATAGTGAAGTGGTGTTATTTCTGGAGGGGCAGCCAGATTTTCCAGAAGAACTCCAAGGTGCCAAGAAGGGGATGCTGTATCTCACCCAATACAAAGTAAGAGCTCTTGGCCCAGATGGCAGAAGAAGAGAGCAGCTTCTCTTTGACCAGAAAGTTGATAGCACATCTTTCATTTATGGTGGGCGAAAAGAGCATTTGACTAAATCTCCTCATAGGTTAGCATTTTCTTCCATTAAAGTAACTTGAAAGCAGCCCACCTTTTGTTGAAAAGGCCGTTATTTTACTTAATGTAAGCTTTGGAGATAAAAGTGGACACGGTTGTGGTCCAAATGGTAGGCACGTGCTTCCCAGGCTAACTCTCGTGAAATTATCCTGAAGGGCTTCTTGATTGCTTTCCTAGATAATATTTCATCATAAGGATAAGGGATCGACCATCATCCGTTTTCCACTGCAGCTGTTGGGAGATTGCGTTCTGGAGGAGGAGCCAGACTCCAAACCCCAACATATCAAAGGAACTCTGAGTAGGTTCCATAATTTATGATCTGTCTTTTCAGCTACTCTAGCTTCTAGTTCTCTCACTGGTCATCTCTTCTCTCTTGGATAAGTCATCCAGTGGGTGGAAGTGCTTAGGGAAGCGATCCTCATGTTGTGATGACAATACCCCCAAACTGTGTCCTAACTCACTATGATGATAATTCCCTTTATTTGTCCCAGTCCCTTGATAACCAAAATGAGTGAATCAGAAGACGAAAGTAATAGCAAATTTGGGTAATCCTAAAGTTTTTCAGAAATACAACAATTTGTGCAGGGGGACCTAAATAATTTAAAAAAAAAAATGTGATGAGAGAACATGCTCGCATAGAACGCTGGCTATTTGTTGGGTAGGGGAGGGAGAACAGGAGAACGGGAAAATGAGGGTGATGGGACAGAGACATTTAAGTGGCTGAAAGCCACTGCACCCCACTTGCTGCAGGTCTATTTTATCTACTAAAAATATCCATACAGAAATAATATATTTTGTATATTGGTAGTTCTACCAATCTAACATAAGTAGAGTTTGATCTCTTTTTTATTATATTTTTAACTCACCCTTCTCAGGTTGGCAGGTCTGCTGAATTACATTGAGACAAAATAAGGGTTCATCTAGGTCAGTCTTGTCCAAGTTGATCCTGATAACTTGGAATTCAGTTCTCATCATTACCCATTAGTATGTCTGAAGAGGTATAATTGTAGCTTTAATAGCTTTGCAGGAGAGGGAGCAGACCAGAAAAAGAAGAGGCATAGATTATATCTTCTGTAGTTATGCGTCAGCCTTGACTTAAGGTCTCAGTGTAGACTTTTCTTCTCAGCTTCTACCCAGGGAGTCCTTGCTTTCAAGTTCACTTTCCAGTATGGAGCTTCTGAATGCCTAAACATGATCAAAGATCTGGTAGATGCAGGTAAGTTGCTCAGTGAGTAAGTTGTTCTCTTATTAGCTATCAAAGGTTCATTCTTTCTGCTGTGCTCCATCTGGCAAGGAAAGAAGAGGCCTCCTGATTCAAAAACCACAAGTAGTCAAGGGGGGGGGGGGGCAATGTGTTTTTTTCTTTTTACATTTCCACAGAAAACATCTTGGTTTGTGAATTGGATCCACAAATCTTTCCCCAACCTGATGGCCATGATGGGGGATCCAGTCCAACAAATCTGGAAGGTACCAGGTTGTGGCAGGTTGTGCAAAGCCACCAAAACAGAGTGTAGTAGTGCCAGAAGGATTAATGCAACTATGATAGCATATTAGACTGGGAGTCAGGAAATGGTTCAGGTCTTCATAAAGCCATAACATTTACCAGATGACGTGGTGAAGAGAGAGCATGCTCCTCACCATATCTGTGTTGCTGTTTTTTCTTTGGAAGATGAACCGGATAAAAATGGGATAGATGAACTGATAGATGAATAGAAGAATCTCTGGTTTAAATCTCTATTAAAGAAATAAATGATTGTGTATGCATTTAATTTCCATGATATGCTTCACTCACCTCCTTTGTTAACAAACACAATAGAAGTTTTGAAAGAGACTACGAATCTCCAAGAATACCCAACAGCTTCCATCTATACCTACGCCCACCCTGCTGCACCACAGACAACTCGTAAGTACGGTAGTATGTGGTGTGTTACCAAATGCCACTTTTTTTTTTTTTTTTCACCAGAAATGCTCACAAAGCCAGCCTCTTCATTGACAGCAGAAAGGTTTAGCATTCTCATAACTGTTAAAGGAACACAGGATGTTGTTTTCTACCCAGTCAGATCATAGGTCCATTTTGTCCAGTCTGGTTGAAATTAGCTAGCCGGGGTTCTCCAGGGTTTTGGGCTGATGTTTTTTCATCCTTATCTAGAAAGGACTGAATTGGGGATTGTCTTGTGTGCAAAGCATGTGTTCTACCACCCAGCTATGGCTTCTTAAAGCTCTGTATTGATGTCATCTTTTCTTTAAAAAAAAATTAATTCTGAATAAGAAGCAGTTCCTCTTGAGTGCAAAGAACAGGATGCAGTCAGTCTTCTCTTTAAACGCATGATTCTTCTGTCCGTGCAGCGGCGGTGGCAGTGACATTTCAATTCCTGGGATGAAGAAAATAGATGGCAGTACCCTCCATTTCACATGTAGTTCCCTTTGCCGGAGGACAGAATTGTCCCCAGTCCTAAGGGCAGCAGGCTCAGAAAGATATGGGAGATATGCTGTGGGATACAGGTATCTCCAGTTGCTTGTTAACTGCAGTCTAAGACATCTGGCACTATGCCTAATAGGCTGAGTCAATATCCACGCTAGTCTGCTACTTGGGGGGAGTAATAGCCATGTGTGTGATATGCAAATCTCAAAGAAACTAGCCTTCCAGATATTAATGCTTGCAAAATTTTTCCATCCTCAACCCCTGGAAGGCTCCAGGCTGCAAAAGGCTGAAGTAGCCACTGCCTAGCTAGATAAATCAATATTCTGCTCTATGATTGAATAGCTTCCTATGAGGCTTGAGTACTGATCCATGCTGTACTCCATGCATAGGCTGAACATCACCCAGGATCAAAACCCAATTCAAACTCTAGTGTTTTAGAAGATAATATTTCATTTTTAGTAGACAGTATTCCATTCCCAAGGGTTCAGTTTCCAAAGAATGAGTCTGTTCTTTCTTCCTTGACATTTTATTAGGACTTTCTGGTTCAATCACCTAATTCTCAGATATGATGGTTTTTCACCTTACAGGTTCTCTCAACACATTACCACTGTGGCCTCCCCCTTACCCTGGCTCCCCAGAGCTCCCCCCTCCCTATTCTGAAGTGGAAGCAGACTCTCCAGGAAGAAATCGGGGGCCAGGTAAGTCAGCATGGCAATCCACCAGTCACATTGGAGGCCAATTGATCCAAGGATAAGAAAGCAGATTCAGAGGAACTTGAGAGCTGGATAGGTTGCCCTGCAAGTTAGTGGGTTGTGCTTCATTACTGGTATGTTGCAGAGATGTGACAGCTGCTTTCCTGCAGTAGTTGTAACGGTATGTGAGAAAGACCTTGGCAGACAGGGCGAAGAGATGCTGCCTAGGGAACGGTCGGTAAGAGAGGGCATACCCCACAGCTGCATAATAGGTGGAGAAAGAGGCGCATAAGGGGCTCTCCCTAGCTTCTCAGGCTGTAAAGGAGACAGTGGGAGATTTCAGACTTGCAAGAGTCTGTTAATGTAGCCTTACAATAAAGTAGAATGGCTCATTTGGTCGTGTTTCCTGTCTGGTCTGACTGGGAAAGCTGACATCAATCTTGCAAGTCTGAAAGTCTTGAGACCCAGCTGGCTTCATGTCTAAGGAGTCCTGCCTTAGACATGAAGCCAGCTGGGTGACTTTGGGCCAG